ATTAAATGGGTACCTAGGTATAAGAAAAAGAATGAATTTTATTTATTGTCAATAAATAAGTATGGTGTTATAACAATTTTAAGTATTATTTATACWACGACATAAGGTTCTGTGATTTTAAGTTGTATCAACTGGGAACAGTGGCGGCGCCAGAATTTTAATACCAGGTGGGCCAGGCTGAGGCCCAAATTTTTTAGGGAGGGCCAAATTGTTGACTTGTTATATATATATATATATATATATATAAACAATAGTGATGACAAGCAATTGCAAGAGGGGGAGGGTCAACTTCCAATTTTTCAATTTTTTTTACACTTCATCGGGTTAACTTACTAAAACAATGATTTGTAAACATGTATTATAGTATTTATTTCCTAACAAAATATATTATATTCATGTAAAAGTAAATTCATCAAAAGTATTTAAAAATATAATGCTTTCCCTTGTAATTACTTTATCATAGTTGGTTAATAATCTAATCCCGTTGTTCCTGGAATTCTCAACAAAATTATTAATAACATTGATTAATATTTAATAATAACTAGTAAGTATAACTTATTATTTTTATTTTCAGCCGCTGGAAAATACACGTTATTTATGAGGCTTAGCATAGTGCATAGTTTTCAACCCATTCAAAATGTTGTTCACGCCACTATTATGACTTAATATTTTCATATTTTTATTTATTCATGAGATATTTTTTAGTATTCTAGTATGATTAAATTTAATTTTTGGGGTGAGCCACAGGGGGGGGGGCTCGAGACTTTAAGGTGGGCCCGGGCCCACCTCTGGCGCCGCCACTGACTGGGAATGAACTTTTTAAAATAAATTTAATCTATATTGTTCAATTCACAATTGTTGAAAATCAAAATTTAAATTAGTGCATATAACATTATATACTAATATGATAATACCTAACAACGTATTTGGTATCTGTTAGTGTTGAATTAGACCTAAGTATTTTTATGTTAAACAAATATATATATTACATATAATTTATTTATTTTTTTTAAGAAATCATTATAATGATATTTATTTACCTTAAACCATTACCATCATCCCAAAAGTAATATTTTGTTCGCATATTTTTAAGATGCAAGTTGGCGTTTTCTCCTCTCAAAATAATTTTGTCCCACAAAATTACCTAAATAAAATAATAGAACATGAGAAAAACCATGTGCTACACAAATATCTACAGTGAAAACTTTTTACAACGAAAAACTCTATATTATGTAAATAACATTAAGTTAACTTATAATGGTTGGTTTGATTTAAAACCTATTAATTACTCTCTATTATGAAAATTCTCAATAACGAAAGAAATCACATGGTCCCTTGAGATTCGTTATAGAAAGTTTTCACTGTATATAAAATAATATAACTATATAATTGATAACTTAATAATATGATATGGTTTACTTGATTCAAGGCATTTGTAGATGTCTCGTATTCTGCTGTCATGTAGACAAACAATTGTTTAACATTCCAATTGAATAGACTAGTGAGA